ACAAAGATTTTTGAAACTCCAGCTTAACAGCACCAGAAAGCAAACAATGAACGTTCTTCTTAGTTTTCCTTTTGTACCGGAAGCTAGACATTGTGCTAACTCTGAATATGACAGCTTTGAACAATGCAGCTATTTTGCATCCACGGCCATCACTATGATTCCTCAGTTAATAAGTCCTTCTCTTTCCTGAACTGTTTTCTCTTTTCTTTTGCATTATTAGGTGTAACAATTACTTTTCATTTCTCATCATGTGACTACATTTTATGTTTTATGATTTCTTGGATGTTATTCATTTGCTTTAGTGCCTCTTTATTGGTTGACCTTTGAATCCAATGGTTTGCATTCTGCGATAAATCCAGAATTCAGATGCTTTTCTCTTCTTTTACAGTGACCTACGTTTTTTTTTAAAGGCAGAATAGATAGCATAATGCTATGAATCTCCATAGAACCAATGCTTCAAACATTTATTCGTCAGGTTTATATCTTACTTCACAGCCTATACAAATTCCTAACTGTTAGAGTAGTACAGCAATGAAAACAGTTACCTTGAGAGTGTTGAATTAAACAAATCAACAAAATTATAACTAGCGCTTGAAGACAATATACACCTTTGTTTCCTTTATCTTTGTAAACTTTTAACTATTCTTCAAACATTTAGTCTGTTCTTTTGGCCTATGTTACATATTAACGAAGACAAGGATACCTCTGAGCATTCACAGAGTGATTTCTCTTCAGCCAGTTGTCCCACACACCTAGATGTTCAGAATGAATTATGATATTTCCATTTCTATAATGCATACCCTTTCAGTTAAGCCTTTAGTCACAGTGGTTCCCGACCTTGACAGACCTTAGACTGCAACTCCCAGAAGGTGTAACTATTCACTGGGCTGGGAGTTACAGTCCAAAAACACCTTGGCTACCCAAGGTTGGGAACCACAACCTGAGTGGATTATTTCGTTTTAAAAATGGAGCCTATTATAGATTCCTTTAGACAGTTGGTAGAAGCAAATACAACTCCCCCACCCTTGCAAAAACATAAATAATAGCAGAGAAGCTGTCTTGAAGATAGAAAAGTTTTTAAAAAATGGAGTTGGAAACGTGGCATTTGGAGACGAGCAATTCCCAGAACCAAACTCCTTCCCGTGGTCAGCTGAAGAATTCTGGGAAGTGTATTCTGAGAAACTACTTTTTCCAACAAGCGTTGCTTGAGAGGAAGCAAGTTTCGCAAGGGGGGCTTTGAGACCATGGACCAAACTACGGCGGGGCGTGGTGAACTGGAGAATTCCACTCATAAGGGGCAGCTGAGGATGCAAGAAAGACTCATTGAGGCCACCGAGGCATTTTTTTTACCACTCCTTTAAAGTCCTGTGTTGTGACTGTCAAAGCTAACCAACGGACACCGTCTCTCTCAACCTCTCCCCCCCCCACCCTGCCAAGTTACTGCAAATATCAAGTGTTCTATGAAAAGCTTTATACAATTCAGGCCATGACCTCGTGTGATTGTGTTTTTTTGTTGATGTGAGGCCGAGGCCTTAAAGGGCCTTATTTGGCTGTTCCCGGGACTATTGTTAGCTGCGCGGTCGGATTCTCGGTCACCGGGAGGGAGGGTGTTGGTGTGTTTGTGGCTCCTGCTACCAAGGGGACTGCCAGGCTTCTCTGGCACAGGCCCACCGGGCCCGGCCTAGGTCAGCTTCTCACGGTTGACTCTGCCGACTCTTAAGTGCACATGTGCACGGCAGCCGGGATATGGAACCAATTAGGACACCATCGTGTGACGTGTGCAGCCTGCACATCCATGTGCTTTGGGTTCGCTCTCCTGCCAAATCCCCTCCTCCCAGCTGAGGGAATTCCCCTGCCTTTTGCCTTTATATGGCCTGCAAACAACACGGTGACTGAAGCGGGAGCATGTGCGATCCTTCATTCAGCCTTGTTTAAAAGGGTGTTTGGCACTGGGCATTCAGCGAGGTTTCTTGTTTAAAAACCTGGCACTGGGTTTTGTTTGACAGCTTTCAACATACCAGAGTCTTTACAAGAAGTATGTGGGTGGGATGGTGAAGAAAAGAAGACAAGAGACAGTGGGGGGGGGAGGGCTTTTATTTTTCCTTTAAATGTAATTTGTTCCCTTGCCAGACTTTAGAAAATATACTATTTTGGACTGCACTTCCTAGAACCCACCATTCAGCATGATTACTGGCCATCCTTCACTTGCAGGGAGCTGGTAACCGTAGCCTTTCTCCTAGCTCTGTCTGGTTTCCTTTAGATCAGGCACGTTTGAGGGCCCTTAGTCTATTATGTAATCTGAACATATAAAGCTGCACATTCATTTAATGTTGTAACTAAGGCCAGGCAGATGAGTTAGAGAGATAAACTGTGATTCCAAGAGGGGAATCGTAATGTGAGTGCCTGCATATGACTGCAAAGGAACTTCTTTCACTCTTGGCACAGTGGTTAAACTGCAATATTGCAATCAAGCCTCTGCTCACAACCCAAGTTCGATCCTGGTGGATTCAGATAGCCAGCTTAAGTTCAACTCAGGCTTCCATCCTTCCTAGGTCAGTAAATTGAATACCCAGCTTGTTGGGGGGGGGGGCAAAGTGTTCCTTGCATAATTGCATTATAAACCACCCAAAGAGTGCTCGAGCACTATGGGCTGGCATATTGTTGAAATAACAACAGCCTTTGAGATCATGCAGAATAGCATGCTTTGTTTAGTGACTGGCCTTTAGGGTTTGTGCATGGGATTCCACAGAAGTCTGATTTTCCCTCTGTCTCCCTCCTGCCACATTTATGTTCTTTAACCTCTGATCATGGGCTATTGCTTGCATCTGTTTCAGGCTTAAACTAAAGTGCAATGAGGTGACATAACCTCATGTTCTCTCCCAATTTCTCCCTGCTTTCATTTCCCTTCCATTGTTCCCTTTGTGTCTCATTTGAGACTGGAGGCACGTTGGAGTATGAACTGGCCACACCTCTGAATCAGCCCCATGCAGGAGTCTGATCAAAATTCAAATAGGGTTAAAGTGGGTAGGAAATGTGAACATACCACACAAGCCAGCATTTGATGTCCCTATATGTGTTGGGGTTTTTACAACCTCATATGCTGTTTGTGGCTGAGTGATTGGGAGGGTCTTTTCTGGGCTAGGGTGGTTGTCAATCTGTCCAGCACTAACCAATCATCCCCTCCTGCCTCTGATTTCAAAAAGAGCCCCACCTCTCTGCTGTGAGCACCTTTATCTCTCTTTAGTCTGTTGAAAGCAATGTTGTTTGTTTGCTATTGATCTGTTCATAACTTCAAGTAATGAAATGTTTTCATTCTTTCTCCTATAAATTTCTCAGACTGAGTTATTGAGACTGTAAATGCCAGTTAAAGAGAAAGGGGACACGAAGCTATTATCCTCTGTGATTTTTACCACATAGCACAAAGGAATTTACCAGAAATTCAAAACTCTGCAACTGTTGCAGAGTTCTTCATGCATTTATAGCATTAAAAACCAAAAGGCAGTTATAAAACCCCCCAAAGTGGTTGTAATCTGCTTCATACTGATTCAAATTACTGCTCTGTCTGTCTCAGTACTGTCTACACTAGGAACGGTATTCATGCAACCTCTGCTCTGCAAGGCTGTATTTCTCAGAGTAATTCTTGCAGCATCCCCTACAGCATTGGTCTCCAACCTTGAGCCTCCAGGTGTTCTTGGACTTCAACTCTCAGAAATCCTGGCCTGCAGAGGTGGTGGTGAAGGCTTCTGGGAACTGTAGTCCAATAACATCTGGAGGCCCAAGGTTGGGGACCACTGCCCTAAAGTATCCCCCAAACCTGTACTGCTAAATATTGGTAGCAGTTGACTCAGCTTTGAAGCAATCACTACTCCAGGGGGTGGAGTCGCGTGCACGCATGTAGCCACATACCTTATATCATAGAGTAGTGAAGTTGGAAGGGGCCCATAAGGCCATCCAGTCCAAACACCTGCTCAATGTAAGAATACAAATCAAAGGCTATCTGCCAAGTGGTTGTCTCTTGAATGCCTCCAATGTTGAGGCACTCGCCACCTCTTGAGGTCATTGATTCTGTTGCTGTTCTGCTCTAACAGTTTGGACATTTTTCCTGATATTCAACTATAACTTGAGCCCATTGTTGTGTGTCCTGCACTCTGGGATGATCAAGAATAGATCCTGTCCCTCCTCTGTATGACAGCCTTTAAAGTAGTTGAAAAATGTGATCATATCACCTCTCTGTCTCCTTTTCTCAAGGCTAAGCATGCCCAGTTTTTTCAGACTTTCCTCATAGGGCTTGGTTTCCAGCCTCCTGAGCATCCTTGTTACCCTCTTTTGTACTTGTTCCAATTTATCATCATCCTTCTTGAAGTGTGGTGTCCACAACCGCACACAATACTCAAGGTGAGGCCTAACCAGTGCTGAATAGAGGGGAACTAGCACCTCACGGGATTTGGAAACTATATTTCTGTTAATGCAGCCTAAAATAACATTTGCCTTTTTTGTAGCCACATCACGCTGGTCCATGCACTCGTAGACTCAAGAACAGACTACTGTAATGCTCTCTGCGTGGTTCCCCCATGAGGGAACCTTGGGTAGCAGTGCTTGGAAAGGTTACTTTTTGATGCTTACAGTATCTAGAGTCCCCTAGTTGGTATGGCCGTGATGCATTTTTGGAGATATAGTCCAAGAAAGTAGCATCCCCAATCTTTCATTCCTGATAAACACATGTGTATCAGTCTCCTTTGTGTATCTGCTTAGGGAGAAGACCCATTGAAAAAAGTAAGACATATATTTGGAACAGCAGTTCAAAGAACTGTGCCATACTCCCAGGAGAAGTAAAAGTAGAACTAGTCTTTCTAAAGAATGTGACCCTGTTGTTGTTGCTATTGGTCCTTATCTGAAATGTCATTCTAGAAAGCTATGATTGCAGCAAACTTGAGGTCAACATATTTTTATCTTCCCTCTCCTCTTGCTTTTCCTAACTCTTCCTTCTCTCTTAGCAGGAAGCTAGGTGGACGTTGGCCTAGGTGAGCCCCAAACCCTTTTAGTTGAGGGATTTCTCCCAGATGAGCCATGTTTAGGTGTCTGGATAGTGACTGTGAGGTGAGTAGAACTCCCACGATAGAGAATTATGAGGTATGTAGTAAAAAGACCCCCCCAGATCCCATCCCTCCTGACTCACATGTTTCAGGGTTTCAGGCCCTACTTGGGGATATCAAGACCTGAAATTGGGACCTTCCATATCCTTTGCTGCTGAGCCAAGACCTCTTCCTAGTCCAGAGGGAAGATTCTCCATCCTTCTGCCCTAGGATCATGCAGACCCCAGTACACACCATTTAATTAAATTAATTGGGTGTGTGTGTGTCAGAGACCTCCAAGCAAAGCTTTAGGATAATTGATTTATTTTACACCATGCTGTTATTGCTTCTAAATCCTGCTGCACTGTCTACTTCAAAACTAAATTGCCAATTAATTGTTACTGCTAGTGTAACAGATTCTGCTGAAGGGGGCCGGTTAATACATATAAAATATATCTTAGCCTAACAGTAGCCATCTTGCTTTCTGTAACTTGCTTCATTATATGAATATGTAAACTATTTATATTAAGGTTTTGCTTAGACAGGCAAGAATGAACAAGGGAGGACGGGGTGTCCATCTGAGTTTCTTTCACTTTGCAATTAAAGTATTTTCTAAATTGGAATCTTGTCCTTGGAGAAGTCCGGGCGTCTGACAAGAATGAATGAATTATTGCCCACAGCCAAGCACTTGCAGGAATTCCTACCAATTACAGAGTCTCCAGCCATTTCTCCTCCTTCCCACCCCTTAGCCCCTCTTTCATGATTTGCCTTATAACAATGTCTACTTTTTCTATCCCGGGTGCGCTTCTTCTCCGCATGTTTTCTGCATGGGAAGTCTGCGTCTATTTGCTTCCTTTCAGCTGAAAATAAACAAATATCTGTTGAATCTCTCTGGCTGATTGATTAATGCATTGGAAACAGCAAAAGGTAAGAAATTATTTCACTGCTCTCTGTTTGTCACACAGCAGCAAGATTGGGCCATTTAGGCAAACCCACTCATCAGCCTTAAGATTTATAGGCTGTTCCTTGTCTGTGAAGCAGCTCAGGGCAGAAGGAAGAAAAAGGCCACAATCTTCATAATGTTCAAGTGCTGAGGAGCACAATTACTGTTGTTTGTGAAAGGCTCTGAGCATGCCTTCTCATGTGAGACATGTCCGTGCATTTCTTTTGCTCGCACAATAGGCAATGAGGAATGAGGTTGACCTGTAACCCAGCCCTAATGCCAGAACAGGGGTGCACAACATGGGCTATGTGACAGACAAGGTCGTACTGGCTGGTTCCCTGGATTCAGCTAGATTCTAACCCAAACTCCGGATCTTCTGCACTCTGCAACTCAGGAACAACAAGGCCCAGAATCTGCCAGAACTGCCCCATCAAGCTCTGCCAGAGCCAAATGTGAAGCCACCTACTCATGAGGGCCCTGTAATGCGGGAGCTGCAGATTACCAGAAAACAATGCACTGTTCTCCAGTAAGAAAATTCGCAATTTGTTAAGTGTGCCTTTGTAGCCCTCAAATTACACTGAGTTTGCATGAGTCAACTAAGGCTATATGAATGAGAGTTTTTAAATTGCACATTGCCCGCTATTTAGAAATGAATAAGTTGTGGGAGTTGATTCATCCCGCTGAGATTTCTCGGGCTGCAGCCAGAACACTTCATACCATTAGAACTACCTAGTATTCTACAATCATAGACAGAATCTAATTCAAGTGGATTTATAGCACCCTTTCCCTTGTTATAAACATTGTATTGTTAAGATTTAATTAAGCAGCCATTCCTCGGTGACGATAAGGAGAACTACTTTTAAAAAACCAGGTTAAAGTGCATTTCACACATCTCAGATGGCACACGGTGATAAAAGCTTAGTTTCTTAAGTGCAATTTCACTGTTTTTATTTCACAGAATCATCAAGAACTGTGGAGTTGCAATGAACCCAAAGGTGATCTATTCCACCCCCATACTGATGGAAGAATCTGCAACCAAATTATCATGACGGGTGGCAGCGGAAAGAAAAGCAGCCAGAATATGGGCTTCTTTATTCACATAAAGACTTTTTATTCAAATTATAAAAAAAACCCAGGCGATCTGATACAAGAGTTTGAAAAGGTTGCTTTTTTGGATGGCACCCTTCTGGGCTTTCCCAGAGTCATACAGAGGTGGGAAATGCCCTTTAAAATCTCAGATACCTTTTTCATCTGTTAATATGCTGTAAAACAGTTTGAGCCTAGTTTGGGAAAGTTAAGGTTTTTGGGACCTTGACTCCTGTAGGGTGGCCAGATGTCCTGTTTTAGGGAGGATAGTCCTCCATTTGAAGAGCAGTCCTCCTTTTTGTGACATGTAACTGGCTACCATGCTGCCTTCCTCCAGTGCGTTTCCTTGGCTGAGCAAGGGGAATAGAGGTATTGACTGTTAGATGTATCTAATCACCCCACTCTTACTTTTTTTAAGTGCACGTGAGGGAATCATTATGCAAGAAAAGAGGCAAACCTCACACACTAACTACTGATGAACGTCAGGAAGGATATTGCCTGGCATGTCAATTCTGTATGAACTCCTAATGTGAGCTCTGTCCCAGGGGTGGACATTTTGAAAGCCTTGTTCGGACCATTTCTCTGAAATAGCTTATTGTTGCTTAGCAATAAATATTTTAAAACAACAACAATAATGGCCTCCGTTTATTTTCTCATTTTCAGTAAGCTGCAGAAAACACAAGAGGATTTCAGAGGGTTATTAAATCCTGTGCCTTATTTATTTATCTGATTTATATCCCATCTTTCTCCCAGTTCTGTCTTCCAAGTGCAATCTCACTCTATAGTAAGCAGTAGAGTATTTTTCTCATTTTCAGTAAGAAAACACAAGGACAAGAGGATTTCAGAGGGTTATTAAATCCTGTGCCTTATTTATTTATCTGATTTATATCCCATCTTTCTCTCAGTTCTGTCTTCCAAGTGCAAACTCACTCTATAGTAAGCAGTAGAGTATTTCCATTGAAATAATAGTGTGGTATACTGTATCTGCATAATTAGTTTAAACTAGCATACGCAAATTGAATGAAAAATTGTGAGGGGTCGTTGGTTTGGGCTTCCCTTCTTTCCAATAAAATACCACCAGACTTTTTGTCAAATAACTTGTTGTCTTTTATTACTTCACCCAACGGGAGTTTCAACCATAGCATGTTTGCTTAAACAAGTCTCTTGTTTGAGCAACGGCTCTTGCAAGGGCAACCAAAGGCTTTCTTCCGCACCATTAACCATATCCTGGTCCCATAGACCGCCACCAACTCGCTCCTGACCCCCGGTCCACAACTCAGGGTCATTTGGACTCAAAAGCGGGAGGGTCTCTTCATTCCCCCATCCATCCTCAGGACGGGTCTCCCTCTCTTGGCGAGTTACTCCAAGGTCCAGGAAACATCCCATCTTCCTCAGTTCTTCTAGATGCCATGCTCGACGAGCCTCTTTCTCTCTAGCGATGGCCTCTTTCTCTTCCCTTATCCTCCTTCTCCATTCACAGGTCTCAGACTCACCCCAATAAGATAGTTTTTGGGGTAAGCCTCTCTTCCTTCGGTTCTCGGCTTCAGTTTTAGGTACCCGGACTTGTCCCCATTTTCCCGTCCACGGGTCCTGCATCCAGATCCACTCCCAACCTCCTGGTATGTTGTCCCAAGCTGTACTAATTTTCCCCAGCCCCCCTTCTTCTACTACCTCCTCAGTCTTCCCCTTTCCCGCTAATTCTTCCTTAGAAGGGATAGATACTTTTAAACCTTTCAATCCTTCTTCCAGGTCTTGGGTGTCCACTGCCTGCGACACCCCCTTTCCCTGTAGATTCTCTTCCTCTAAATCATGTGTATCTGAGCCTTGGTCTCTCTTAAGGTTTGGGGTAGACGGTGGGCTAGTTTGGGTTTGTTTGGAGGTCTTTATGAGAGACGGCTCTACCAGAAAGACACGGAACTTCTGGTCTTTCCCTTCACAAAAATGTCCTCCTTTTTGGTGTTCCTTGTTCCCCATTTCTGGCAATATATGCTCTCATTTTCTTTTCTGAGGGAGCAGTGGCTACCCTGCCCCCATACCTCTGTGGTAACCACTGTGGCCACTGGCCAGGAATGAGCCCTACTGTGTGGTGCCACCCATAATGCTTTCATAGCAATCAAGAGCCTTTTTTGGATACGAAAATGTACTGTATGCCCAAAAGCCAAACAATTTTGAATGAATTTCTCTTGCTGGGAATTCCACAGCTTTCATGATTCTCACCAAGGAGTAAAATCAGCCTGTTGAAATCACATAATCACATTTATGTTATAAACAGATGTGAAAGACCATGAGCATTCCAGCCTTGGCTCTGATCCAGAGCTCAGTTCCATGAACTAACACCCATCTATATTTGCATGTACTAATCATAAATAAACCTGCGACTATAGTGTTTTCTCCAGGAAAGAAAGTGTTTACGTCTGGATGTGGCACGTGTGTTACTTAAAGTTCAGGCAAGCCTGGGTCAGTTGAGGGCTACATAGTCCAATTTTCAGAGCTTTCTTCTTCCATATGGATTTGGGTGCTCCAGAACCCTTAATTTTATACCTTGGAACTTGAACATTTGAGCCACACATGAGCATTTGAGCTGCATGTTTTAGAATCATATTATAGCTGAGTTGGAAAGGGCCTATAAAGCCATCAAGCCCAACCCCTGCAGGAATCCAAATCAAATGATATTATAGCTGTGGATTATAACTAACATGCAAGAATGCAAGAAGAAACATTGATCCAAAGAAGAATTCACAAAGAGCAGAAAACATTTGGGACTTTTTGTTGCAGAGTTTTGGATTTTGGGTTAAACTCTTCTAGCTGAACAGCAGAAGTGCATGTTCCCCAGATTAGTCCACCTCTTTTCTCTTTATCTGGCACAGTCTGAATGATTCATTCTGAGACATTTGTACTAGAAAGAAACTTACAGTTGTGAACAGATCAAACTAACAAACATGACTGCTTTCAACAACAAACTTCAACAGACTCTACAGAGGGGGGAAAAACACTGAGCAAGGAGGTAGGGTTATCTTTGAATTCAGAGGCAGGAGGGAACAATTGGTTAGTGCTGGGTAGACTGACAGTCACCCCAGCTCAGAAAGACCTATCTCAGCCAAAATCTGCTAAAGGCAACATGTGAGTTTGCAAAAGCTCCAACGTTTTTCCAAATCAGTTATGAATTCCCTTAAGATAGGTTTGTTATTTTTCACTGAATAGATTAGCCACTTAATAGTGGATCATTCTAAACACTATAAGATGTCTTATTAATCTCTTGTTTCTCTTTCCATTGTATGCTATCATTTTCGGGTTGACGTTTTGCTCCATCAGAGGTCTACAACCATGTAAGGTTCTAAAAATATAGTAAAATTCCACTCCATTACAGACAGATGTGGTTCTGCTGACAACCAAGTAGCAGTGAAGCTGAAACCAATCAAAGTATTACGTACCATATCATATCAATATTGCCTGAGTAATGTGGCCCTTAAGAGCTGCAGTTTCCTGACACTTTGGAGTTTAGGTAAATTTGGAAAGTGCTTAACAAGATAAATGACACTGAAATGTTTTATTGCTGATGCTCTTGTTAATAGAAAGTTTCTTTATTTTTAAATAAGTTTTGGACCATACCGTTCTTCGCACACAGGGTGATTTCAGACAGAGATAATCACCTCATAGGTCTTCACATCAGGGGTAGAGAACCTCTGCCCTGCAGTCTAATCTGTTCCACCAGGTTGTCTAGATCTGCTGAGTTGGCTAGACCTGGCCCACTTTGGGTCCACGCCTTCCCTTGTCAGAGTATTGAGAATTTACAGGCCTGAACAGAACAGAACAGAGCAAAAGTAGTAATGAGGTGCCATGTTATATAGGTGTGTAATTTGCTGAGTCACAGTTACTCTGGAGAGGTGGTACCTTGGATGATGCAACACCTGCTGTGATTGGATAAGGGCAGAGGCTCAACTGTATATATATATATATATATAAATTGTATAGAGAACATGTACCACCACCTTCATTTGATGATGCCATGCTGTCGCTTTCTATACTTGTATATATGCTGTAAATACACGTCATGCTGGAGGAAGCTGACATGTCTGAGTGATTTATTTTGCCTTCTGGACCTGAAAAAAACCTTAACTCTGCTGGATTTTCGTGGGTTCGCGGTAACACCCTACCTATCCCAAAACTGTCCCCTCTGGCCAGGAAAGGTGATCCATTACTGCCGAGATAACAGGAATATCTTTTCATGCTCTCAGATCCCACGTAAAGGACCTACTGGAAGACCCATTTGATAGCACTTGCTTTACTCTCTTGCTGGAGGTGAGGTACAAAAACCCAGTTCCCACCTGAAGTGCTAGGCTACACCTGGCCAGTTGAGCAGGAAGCCAAATAAAGCTGTGTGACCTTATCCTCTGCTCCATTCCAGCTCCCTGCCCCTGTGTCAAATGGAGGACTCTCCTTTATAAAGGAGGACACACATCCAACCTGTACAATGAGCACATGAAAGGCATCGTCAAAATGCTAACCATTTTAATTGCTATGACCCCCACTGTATTTCGGAGATTTGTACGAGAACACAGAAATCAGCGTGGACCCTCTTTATTAATAAAACCATTATACTGGGAAGCATGATTCACCGTTTTACACGTGCTTCATATTTTTCAAGGTCGCCATGGTGAAGAATGCCTCCACAATATTTCAGTTACGAAGTCTTAAAAAGACGTGGGTGTAGGGGGCTTAGCAAGCAGCTGGTATGACTGGCTTGCCAAGCCCCATAAACCTGCCGTTATAAATGATGACAGCTTAGTGATCATGAGGTAAAACTCCAGAGCTGAAACAGTTATTGGATGTTAATCCACTGTGAGAGAGAGAGTGTGTGTGTATGTGTGTGTCAGCTGCAAGGTTCAGCGCTAACCATAAAAAGCATCTCAGAAGGAAACATGACAAGTGCGAAATTATTTTTTCTGCTGAGATGGGTACATTGCCTCTCCTCATAACTCTGTCTCATGAACAAAGTGCCATGAGACTTCTCGTGTTCTAACAAATGAACGAAAACAAAAACCTATTTTCCAAATCAAACCACATGACCCACCTTGTCTTTATACTTGCCTCCTGCCCTGTCTGCTACACAAATTTCTGGTCCCTAAAGCCCTTAGTAGCTTTCTTGTCCCACTGAGACTGACTCTTTCTTTCTCCCAAATACAGCCCTGCCCTATTGCCAACCTCTGCTCCTCAAAGGTCTCTTCCTTGCTTAAATGATCCTGCCTGTTGGACTCTGGCTTCCATCAGCCTCTGCCAGCATGGCCAATAATAAGGGATGATGGGAAGTTTCACTATGGTTTATTATTGATTTTGCACTGAAATCAGGTGGTCATCTTGTAGCCCATCAGACAGTGCTGGGCAGCAGCTCCCTTCTCTCTTCAGCATTGATTAGGGTGCCTAAGACTGATGACTGACATGGGGCCCATTCCCAGAATAATGGAAGCTGGAGAATGAAACATATAAAGCAGCAGACGATGGCTAGGTCTTTTCTGTGAAGGTGTTCCTACTTCATGCTGGCAGCTTAAAGTTTTGCATTTCTTGTCAAGATTGTATTCGCGAAGGCTTTCACGGCCGGGATCTAATGGTTGTTGTGGGTTTTTCGGGCTTCTTGGC